AACCGCCAGCCTTCTGGTTAGCAGTCAAGTGCCTTAGGCACTATGCTACCAGAGCTCCTTGTAGCAGAAGCCAAAGGTTTTCCCCTTCCTCTCTTTCTACAGACACAGAAAGTGGACCAAAGCTGCAGGGCCCAGCTCCTCAGCACCAGATGCTGGCAACCAACGTTCTGCAGTCAGGCCCCCTGCATGTATGTGGACACGAAGTGGCCCTGGAGACCAGCCGCACAGCAGCAACATCCAACCCACATGGACCCCAGGGGGCGCTGCAGGACAGAGCCAGGACCAGCGGGCAGGCTGCCTGTTGGCATGGAGACAGCAGCACCCCAGGTGCTGAGACTGGAGGCGGGCTTCATCATTCTCCACCAATACTGCTCCAGGCAGATGGGGCTTAGCCAATGCAACAGGGCCAGGAAGGGCCTCTGCACCGGAAGCGGGGGGGCCTGAGCACTGTCTCAGCTGGGCTGGCAGGAGAGTAACTGAAAGAGGCCAACCACATGCCATCTCCCGAGACAAAGACAGACGGCCCCACCTGCCACTGACAGGGACATGAGCCAGAGGTGGTGGACCACTGTGGGAGTTAAGGTTGTTGTCAACTTGCCTGGGCCTGGCTGAGTGGCTGGGCAGCTGGATGCAGGATTCTCCACAATGGGACTGGCAATCAACTCCATGGTGGAATCTACTGGGAGCAGCTGCGTAGCTGCCTTAGGGATGTGGTCTGCTTCTTGTATGTAAGAAGCCTTTGGGAACAGTCTCTAACTTATGGCACACTTGAATCCTGCATGTAGTTGAGTCATTGTTCAGCAGCCCGCCATGCTCTGCTGACCCTGGGACTTTCAATGGACTTGAATCAGTGGCCTGCCGTGTGGTTCAGTAACATTGGGACGGTGCCTTTTTACATGTCAACCATAGGTTTGTCAGTCTCAGCACCCAGCAGCTGAGTGAAGACGAGCCTCCAGTTTCAGTGGGCCGGGAGCAGGAGGCAGCACTGGACCCCAAGGTTGAGGGGCTTTCACCCAGCCTCTAGAGCCTGGCACTTTGAATTTGGGACTTAAAGCGTAAGAATAACCTCCTGTTTGCTAAGGCCGTCCCATCTGTGGTATGTTCCTGTCAGAGCAGCACTAGGGACCACAACAGTGGCTCGTCCGTGTGAGGACACGGGCAGGATCACGGTCTGGTCGGCTCTGTGGCCCTGGAATCTGAATTCTGCTGCCCACCTTGCTGCCCCTCTGCCCCGCCGTGAAGAGGGAAGGCAGAGTGGGAGGCCGTGCATAGGGCCCCACGGCAAGCAGAACGCAGAGTACCCAAAGGAGTCCAGCCCCTCACTGCCCAGCGCACCTGGATGGAAGAAGCCCCTCTGTCCACCCCTCTGTCCGGTGGAGGGGGCGTGTTTAACCTGCGTCCCCGCCGCTCACCCGAGAGTGATGAAGTCTCCTTTGCTGACCGTGTCGGGTTCGATGCAGATGTTCATGAAGTCCTCGTCGCTCTGCAAGGGGAGGGCGGATGTTAACACCCCCAGCGTGGGGACTGCAGCCCAGCCACCCACAGTGCGGCCATACCCTGAAGCTGTGTGTTCCAGGAAGGTCCGTGCCTCCATCCCAGAGTCCATTCCCTGGTGCCATTTTCTATTAACGTCTCTACTGAGGTCAAGTTTACAGCCCATGAGATTCACCTGCATCACTTATTCTTTACGACCTAAGCCAAATGACAATCGCCCGTTTGGGGGAGGCTTCTGAAGCTCGGCTATCTGCTCCCAGGGGCTGCCAATCCCTGGGGTCCCCCCTCGTAGGCCCGGCTCTCCACCCACCCTGCCCAGCCACACTCAGACCTCCCTGCATGTCACCTCTCATCACCTCAGCTCCATGGCAGGCAGAGCCCACATCTATGTTCTCGTTAAGTGAGGTCCTGGCACTTTGGGCGCAAGCAGGGCGTGTAAGGCCTTCATTCCCAGCCACAGGAAGCTGGGGGGGCGGGGCTACACCAGGGCATCGCCTGTGCAGACCCACATCTGCGTCCAGTGAGCTGCCAGCAGGACACGCCAGCCCTCCGTGAACAGATCCCAACAAGTCCAGGTGGGCTGCAGGCAGAGGCTGCTTCTTGGGGGCCAGGCTCACAGTCCATGGCCCCAGGAAAAGCCAGGGGCCACCAAGGTCCTGAGATCAGAGGGTCCTGGGCAGACATGAGGACGTCACACAGCGTCCACCTTCTATTTGACGACTATTATCAAGCACCCGACCAGTCAGAGCTAGGGCCAGGCAAGGGATGAAAGAGCCTTCTGCCCACAAGCCACAGACGTTCTGCTGAGGGAGGGGAGGGGCTAAGCAAAACAGCCACTACAACTGTACGTGAGAGAGCACGGTCACAGGTGGCGGTGGACAGCCACATGCACAGGAGACTAGGGGACGGAGGAGACACAGAGATCAGGGACATGACGCAAAGAGCACCAGGCGCACGTGTGCAAAGGAGGCTAGCGGAGGGGGCATGTCTAAAGCGGGTCCAGTGGAGGGAGTGTGTTTAAAAAATGTCCAGCCCAGGGGGCCTCACTGAGGCCACCCCGAGAGGGACCAGCAGGAGTACGGAGCAGATGGGACAAGGGAAGCAGCTCTCAGCCCGCCACACGCATCACCTGGAGGGCTTTTGATCTGTCGGCCTGGGTGGGGCCCAGTACTGCCCACTTCTAATCATTCCCAAGTGATGGTCCCTGGTCTCAGGCAGACCCAGGCCACGGGAACGGCCAGGGCAAAGGTCCAAGCATGGCCAGGAGGCCAGGATGGCAGCAGAGGGCAGGGACAGCGGGAGGCCACACCAGAGCAGGGGAGGCGGCAGCATCCAAGAGGAGGAGGGCAGACTGACCAGCAGACAGAATGACTCAGGCTGAGTGACGTGAAGAGCCTCTGAGGAAACGTGACCTGGCTCTGTCTGAACAGCCTCACTCTGGCCGTGGGGCGCACAGGAGACAGAGGGGGGATGTGCCTCGTCTTGATGGGCCTTGCCTGAGGGAGGCCACTGGGCTTGGCAAAGGCCCCTGTCGGAGCTGTGACTGGACCATTCTCATGGACGGCTGGGCAGGAGCAGGGCTCCCCTCCTTGTTCCCCTCCCACAGGGTCCCCGCACTACACCACTGGCTTGCCCAGCACCTGGCAGGATCTCCTCCCAGTCTTGTCCAGGTTTTCAGTTGCTCATGATACAAAGGTAAAGCTAGGCCTTGTGGCTCCACTGTGGCCAAAAACAGAAGTCCCAGAACAACGTTCACAACCAGCATAGATACTTCACTGACTGACAGACGGAACGAGATCGTACAACTCAACGAGGCAGGAAAGCTCTCCACGAAGTTACACATGTACTCCTGATGCAGTGCTCAGCCAACGGGGAGGGAAAGGGCTCTGTAACTGACAAGGGCATTAACAAGAGGTACCAAGTCGGGAAGGGAGCAGCGAGCCTCTGTGAGATCAGGAACAAGAGAACAATGTCCGCCTTCACCCTCCCACCCAACTCTGGCTGAGGCCCCAGCAGTGCAGGGAGGGGAGACAGAAGCCTGGAAAGAAGAAACGGAACCTGCATTATCTGCAGCTGATAGGACAGAATCCGTCAAAAAACAAAAGAACCCACAGATATGTTCAGTATCATTGGCAAAAACATAGGTTGCTGATTCAGAATCAATATAAGAAATTCTGTCCACACACCAACCTGAAACAGCAAGAAAACAAAATGTTAAGAAATACTATTTGCAACAGCATCAAAAACTAAGATAAGCAGGCATGGATCCCGCAACAGACAGAAAACCACGAAGGCTTGAACGAACGAAGAGCTAGCGCATGTTCAAACCACAGAGGCAGCAAACTGTGCAGATGCCATTTCTTCAACTGATCTACAGGTTCAACATAATCCTGATCGGTACAGTGCATTTCTGTGTAGACTTTAGTAAAATCAATAAAGGGTTTCTAGAAGCCCAAAGAACCAAGAATAACCAAGAGAATGCTGAAGGAGAAGAAGGGACTATTATAAAGACGTCCTAGTGAAGAGAAGCCGGTACCAGACACTAGACCACAAGCCAAGACACCAAAGTCACCGCTGGTCTTGGAGGCAGGAGTCCATGCCGCACTGAAGGCATCAGTGAAAGGGCACCAGGAATTGATGAACACCCATCGAGAGGTCTCCACAAACAGCTGCAATGCTGGAAATACTTACTATGCCAAGAAATTTGATAGACAGCTTGTTGGCCAACTGACTGGAAGAGATCCATATACGTGCCCATTCCAAAGAAAAGTGATCCAAAAGAATGCAGAAATCATCAACAATATCATTAATATCACATCCAAGTAAAATTTTGCTAAAGACAATTCAACAATTGCAACAAGCAGTACAGTAACAGACAAGTTCCAAAAGTTCAGGTCGAACTCTGAAGAGGACGTGGACTGAGGACATGACTGCTGATGTCAGGTCGAACTCTGAAGAGGACGTGGACTGAGGGACATCACTGCTGATGTCAGATGGATCTGGCTGAAAGCAGAGAATTCCAGAAAGATGTTTACCTGTGGTTTACCAACTATGCAAAGGCATTTGCCTCTGTGGATCGTAACAGATCATGACTAACATTCAGAAGAATGGGAATCCCAAAACACTTAACTGTACACGAGGAGCCTGTACATAGATCAGGAGGCTGTTGTTCGAACAGAACAAGGGGATACTGCATGGTTTAAAATCAGGAAGGGAGTGTGAAAGGGTTGTATCTTTTCCCTGAACTTATTCAATCTGTACGCTGAGCAATAATCCAAGAGGCTGGACTATATGAAGAAGAACTGGCATCAGGAGTGGAGGAAGACTCATTAACAACCTGCAGTATGGAGACGACACAACCATGCTAGCTGAAAGGGAGGATGAAGTACTTACTAATGAAGACTGAAGAACACAGTCTGTATAGTATGGACTACACCTTAACATCAAGAAAACGAAAATCCCACTGCCATCCACTTGGAAGGGGATCTATGTAGGAGATCCTTGATAGAGAGGGAGAACAATGTGGAACAAAACTCAAAATCATTTGGAGGAAAAAAAAGGGGGGG